TCTGGGTTGCTGTTATGTTGATGGCAAGAGTGAGGCAGGAGTCTTTCCATTTTGTGATAGTTTATCAGCGTGATCTATTTATTAAGTGACAGTGAACAAGTCATTTGAATTTTTGTTGTTAAGTGAATTTTTTATGTACCTTAGCAATTTAGAACCGTGTATTTAGGTAGCTGGCAAGCTTTTTTAAACTGCTGTTTGTAGAAAATGCAACACCATGAAAGAATCATCAGAATCAAATGAAATTTAATGCAGAAACGACTTGTACTGATACAAATAAATGATGAAATTTTCAAAACAAAAGAAACANTTCTGATGATTCCTTCATGGTGTTGCATTTTCTACAAACAGCAGTTTATATAATTTTTTATTTTGAGTTGGATATAATTACCATTTGAAGGATATGGAATTTTTTATACTTCTATTTTCATGTCATTATTTCGTTGGGCAATGTTACTACGTAATTCATAAGAGTCTTTTTGGTCACCTCTCACAATCAGGTGTATTACAGTGTAGGACTGGGCGATGCATCAGAAAATATTGATCCTATGTAATCAACGGCGATCCGATGGTTGGATTGGCAATTTTTCGAAGCATCGATAATTGCGATTTACCAAGATCATTCCCGATGCATCATTGACATCGATGTCTATACGCGCGATGATTTTCGAGCCTTATTTCCGATAGTACAACGATGGTTTCAAATGCGCACGATGAGCACTTCTCCCAACCATGAAATCAATCGCCAAGCTTAGAAATCACAATAATTCTGATTGTTGGCATTTGAAAAAAACTCTTAGTAACCAAAAGTCAAAACAACACCCAAACAGAAGAAACTCAACCTCCTTATGTAAAAATACTAGAGGTGAGAACAACTATAAGAGCAATACGCAAAATAGAGATGAAGTAGAAAATAAAATGAGCAACTTAACTTCGAAATCAGAAAAATAAAACTGGATCATTGATTCTAGTAGTTCATCACATATTTCTAACAATCAGGAATCATTTATTAAAATAACTGACACAAACAAAAGTGAAGTCACCATAGCAAATGGGAACACACTGATGTCATACGGCTCGGGAGAAGTTGAAATTATAACTAAGACATCAAACCATAAAATAACATTACGAAATGTTCTCTTTGTACCAGACATTGAAACTAATCTTTTGTCAGTTACCAAAGCAACAGAAAACGGATGCACTGTAACATTTAGCGAAAACAAATGCATAATAATTCATGATCAGGAAATTTATTTAGAGGGAATAAAAAGAAGTAATTTGTACGAAGTGAAATTAAATAACCAAACAAATCAAGAGTATGCTAAATTAACCAATATTTGCGATAGCAAAAATTGTACAGAGATTTGGCATAGAAGACTAGGGCACAAGAATTATAATTCGATCGAAAAATTGAAATTAAATGATTTAGCTACCGGAATTGACTTAAGTCGATAGAACACAATAATGTAAGTGAAAATTGTGTTCAAAGTAAACTCACAGACAATCCGTATCCTAAATCAACTCAAAACAGAGCTACTAAATGTCTCGAACTTATACACAGTGATATCTGCGGCCCAATGAAAACTCAGACGATAAGAGGAAAATCATATTTTTGAACCTTAATTGATGACTATAGTAGATATACATTTGTTTACCTTTTGTGTCAAAAAAATCCGAAGCACTAACTAAAATTAAACAGTACATGGCCATGGCGGGAAATAAATTTGGCAAGATACCCGAAAACTTACGAACTGATGATGGTGGGGAATACCTCAACAAAGAAACAGAAAACTTTTTAAAAGAAATGGGGATTAACCATCAACTAACAGTACCATATTCGCCCAGTCAAAATGGCGTTGCTGAAAGAAAGAATAGATCCTTAATTGAAATGGTTAGAGCTTTACTAACTTAGGCAAACCTTCCACATCATTTCTGGGGAGAGGCATTGCACACAGCTAACTATCTGCAAAACAGACTAGAGACTAAAGCAACCAAACTTACACCGCATCAATTATGGACAAATAAAAAACCGGATTTATCTCACATTAAAGTATTTGGCTGTAAGGTTTACACCTACATTGATATGACTAAACGCACAAAACTTGATAACAAAGCAAACGCAGGGGTATTCGTTGGATACGATTACAGATCCAGAGGATCTGTAATCGTATCCAACGATTTGAAGTAATCGTATCCAACGATTTGAATCGTATCCAACATTATGAAGGAAAACATATAACAATTGCACGCACAGTTAAATTCTTAGAGAAAGAATTTTCATATTCTTAAAGCAATAACGAGCAAACATCTCTTAAAAATGAAACTCATGATCAAGAAACCATTGACGAAACACACTCTGGAGATAAAAATAATACAATTTAAGTAGAAATTGGAAACCAGTTATAAGAAGTTGGCACATCAAGTGGCGCAAACACCAATAAATTTCGCAGATCAGACAGAACTAACAAGGGAATACCTCCAGACAGATTCTCGTACATCTTACAAGAAAAGATCACGAACGAACCATCAAATTGGCAAGTTATAGTGAACCATCAAATTGGCAAGATGTAGTGAATATGGAAAATATGAAAGAAAAGCAGAACTGGTTAAAAGCTACTGAAGAGGAGATTAAATCCCTGAGACAGAATGAAACCTGGACAATTGTCGAACCTCCAGAAGATAAAAGAATAATAGGAAGTCGATGAATATTTAAAAGAAAATACAACAACAAAGGAGAAATTGAAACATATAGAGCCCGTCTCGTAGCGAAGGGATTCTCACAAAAATTTGGAGAAGATTTTTATGAAACTCATGCGCCAGTAGTATCTTCCACATCATAAGAACTTTCTTAGCCAAAGCTGGACACGAAAAATTAACAGTAAACCATCTCGATGTAAAAACCGCGTTTTTGCACGGTGAACTCGAAGATGTTTATATGAGACAACCAGAAGGTTACGTAATTCCAGGGCAAGAAATTAAAGTATGCAAACTTAACAAAGCTATTTACGGTCTCAAGCAAGCAGCTAGAGCATGGAATACAAAAATAGCAAACTCTTTGAAAGATCTAGGCTTCACTCAAAGTGAATCCGACCAATGTCTTTTCAAGCATAAGAAAGAAAATGAATCAACTTACATTATAGTCTACGTGGATGATATACTGATAGCCGGAAATGAAGACAAAATAAATGAAATAGTAGACAAACTAAAGGAAGAGTATGAAATGAAAAATTTGGGAGAACTGAGTTACTATCTTGGAAAACATAAGAGAAACAAAAGATGGACTCTACACTATCAATCAAGAATTGAAAATAAACGAACTGGTGAAGAAACTCAATCTTCAAGAAGCAAAACCTTGTAATACTCCAATTGAACCAGGCTACATAAAGACAGATGTTGAAGAAAATCTTCTTCCTAACAACTCGAAATACAGACAAGCAATAGGATCATTACTCTACATTGCTACAATTAGTCGACCAGACATGTGCAGCAGTAAACCTATTGAGTCGTTGAAACGAAAATCCAAGAAAGATGGACTGGGAACAAGTTAAAAGAGCAGTGAGATATGTAAATACAACAAAAAACTTTGAACTGTTTCTAGATATCAATTGTTCACCAACACTAACAGTATATGCAGATGCTGATTGGGGTTGTGATCGAAGAGATCGAAAATCAATCACAGGAAATTTATTTCTACTTGAGAAAACCCCAATACAGTGGTATACTAAGAAACAGACAAGCGTAGCACTATCATCAGCTGAAGCTGAATATATCTCAGCAGCTCAAGCCACTCAAGAAACTTTATGGATTATGAAACTTCCGAAAGAATTGGAATTAACTCAAACATTACCTATCACTCTGTTTTGAAGACAATCAATCTACAATAAAGATGATTGAATCACCTAAATAGACAAGTCGCACCAAGCACATCGATATCAAACTGCACTGTGTAAGAAACCTCCAGCAGAATGGAACCATAAAGCTCGAATATTGTCCAACGAAAGTCATGACAGCCGATATACTCACCAAACCTTTACCCAAGCCTGACTTTAAAAAGCATAGAATGAAACTGAACTTGCAACTTGATACAGATTCAGAGATCAAGCTGTTGGATAAAATGATCTCTGAAGCTATATTTTACAACAAGGAAGTGTAGTTTTTGAGAACTGAAACTTTCATGTCATGTGACTCTCATCGCATGTATCTTTTCAAAGTCTGAATATTAATTGAATATCAATGTTATATTTAATGTTTTATTACTCATCGTTTTTCAGATTTCACTTTCTCTTTGTGTATCGTCAACTGAGGGAGAAGTCTTTTCCTTCCTCACTGCTTGTAAAAATGTTTTGTCTAAATGCATCATTAAATTTCTATATTGCTTAAAAGATTGTTTCCACAACGATGCTAGTTTAACTCATTCACAAATTAATCAATTTCAAAGAACTTATTTTCAGCCATTCATCGTACTCATTGCCTTTACAAGGTAAGATTTACTACCTTTTTCCTATCAATAATACAGTATATTTAATTTTAAGCATCTGTTACGATGGTGTCTTTCTCTCTAAAGACAAAGATAAACCGTTCCCTTCGCCTGACTAAGTCAATCCAGTATTTAAATGAATAATAAAAAACATTTTTTCAACTATTTTCAAGTATATTTTTGTCCATTTGACGCCAGATTGAACTTCTTGAGGTACATACAGAGATGCCAACTGCTCCGGACGCGCCATAATAATTTAAAAAACGGTAAATAACTACTACAAACTAAAATTTGCAAATATTTGACTAATTTCGTTTACATTTTAAACGTTGTAGCAGATCTTACATGTAACAAAGTGGCGAATTTATATAAGCCTTCAAATTATTTAGAAATAGTGGTGGATAAAAACCTAATAAATTGAATTTATTAAACCAAGAATCACACCTTAATAAACTACCACTCGAAAATATTTATTCTCTGTCCGGAGCAAGTTGGCAAGTATCTGCCCCTGCACCCCAGAGCCCAAGGTCAAGAAAACTGAGATGGGCACAGTAGGCCTTGGCCCTCTAGGGCTGTCGCGCCGCTGAGTATATAGAGTATTTTTCCCTTTGCTAACTCGCGGGAAAGACTTTTTCCCTGAACCTATTTAACAGACCAATTATGATCACTAGGATTTCCTCTATTCCCTTAAAACGAAACATTTTACGGATTTACTTTGCAAGATTTTTCCTAACTTTAATTGAGGAGCACAACGATTTTGTGTCACTTGAATGCTAGCTGCTTATACGCTTTTCTTTATTTAAACTTTACTCGTTATAAAAAAAAACTATTATAATCATTTCTAAAAGGCACACGAAAGTGCCGATGCACGTTGGCTGAGAATCACTGGCCTAAAGAAAACAAATCTTCACCGCTGCTGCAACATATCCTGAAGCGAATCAACTTTCAGCACGTTGATCCCTATAAAGATCTTTTCTATACATATAAAATCGGTAGATCTAAAGAAATATCTCTTGCCACAACAAGGACCACGCATTAACTGCTCGCCGTTTAAAATCCAACAGGCGCGCAGCATTAGGTATCTTTTATAAATGCGAATGAGCAACTCGAAAACCGGATCGGTTTGAAAAATAAAATAGTAATAAAAATAAATACTAAGAAAAAAGGGGGCAAGTAGGGGTTCACGGGGAGGCTGTAAAACCACTTCGTCTTGATTTCTCTCTTCGTTAGCCATTTAATCGAAGCAACATTGTTGTTTAGAAGTGTACGTAGATGGTTTCACCAGTTTTGCGCATCGACATGAATCGATCAAATATTATCAACAGCGAAATATGAGAAGGTAAGAATCTCAAAATTTTTTACAAGTTCGTATTCTCCGATTTTGTTTAAAATTCGTGTTATGGTTTTGGGAAATTATTTTTTCGTGAGTGTTAGCATTCATGAAATATTTTTTCGTTAGTTTCATTGATCCTTTTTTTTAAATTTTACATTTTAATGTCTAAAAATTTCAATTATATCGATAATGAGTCGAGTCTCCCTCGACAGATTAATGAGTGTAAGCATTCGTGAAATATTTTTTCATTAGTTTCATTGATCTCTCTCTCTCGCTCTCTTTTTTTTTTTTTTTAATTTTCCTTATTACTAAATTTGACCGGTATCGAATTTTTTGGTTTATTTTGATTAAATATTACCAAGTTCTAATTATTATTTATAAGGGAAATTTTTTTATTTAGAATTACAATAATTTTTATTAAATTTTAATTTTCTTTATTATTGTATGGACTTGATCATGATGGTTTTGTTATTATTTCGCGTCTTAGTCATTTAAGTTATTGGTTTGGGCTGAGATGCTGAGAACGAAATTAAATTACCCTGTTATATTTGTTCTCATAATTTCATACATAAGTTTTTTTTATGTTCTATTTGTTAAATATTTAAGAAAATTTTATAACCATATTACTTTAATTTCTTAACTCGTTTTAAACTGAAATAAATTGAAATTAATAAAAATCTATGAATATCTTCTGTTTTGGTTTGAAATCTTGAGGGCAACGGAGCTTTACGTGGTTTCTAGTTATTTTGGAGAACATCTAGTCAATTAGAACTGAAATGGATCAAGCATATATATTTATAACTTTGAGATTACTAAGATCAAAGTTTATTACCGTGGGTAATTCCACTATCTCATGTTTGCAGAGTATACGTATATCAAACATTTTTAATAATTTTTGTTTAAGTAACTCTTGGTGCCATTTACATTTATCCAATTTTCAGTATGTATCTTACGTATGTGTGAAATTAAAAACTGGGTGTTACTTTAATACTTGTGAATTATATAATGATTTTAGATCATTTCGTTCATCAGTACCTTCTTTACGCATGGACATAACAGGGCAATGCCCGAGGCCTTCGACATTGCCTTATGAATTTTAAAAGAAATTTATTCTATGAAATAAATCTAATGAATGTAATTTATTCTATTGAATAAATCTATTCAAATGAATAATGTATCTATATTATCATTTTTATAATACATTAAATATATTATGTAAGTGTAATACCAATAAATTAGTATTAAAGCGAAAGAAAATTATTTTATGTCTCATGATTTTAAGTATATTAGTTTAATGCAGAGTTGGCTCGTTTAAGCCAGTGTGTTTAAGCTATATATATATATATATATATATATATATATATATATGTGTGTGTGTGTGTG